TGCATTCACATGAAAACAAAAAATCCCATAAAAAAAATCAACAGTACCAAATTTGTGTGTGTGTGTTTAGTATACTTATACTCGGCTGGAAGATTTGCTTGAGGTCTGAAATGGAATCATCCTACAGTATTGATTCCTATGTCCACACTGTAAATGCTCTATCTCTGATATTGAACACACTTACCCAATAAATATAGCTAATTTTAAACTTTGTGTGTATGGGTAAATAAATGTGTGTGTGTGTGTATGGGTAAATAAATGTGTGTGTGTGTGTATGGGTAAATAAATGTGTGTGTGTGTGTATGGGTAAATAAATGTGTGTGTGTGTGTATGGGTAAATATGTGTGTGTGTGTGTGTGTATGGGTAAATATGTGTGTGTGTGTGTGTATGGGTAAATAAATGTGTGTATGGGTAAATAAATGTGTGTATGGGTAAATAAATGTGTGTATGGGTAAATAAATGTGTGTATGGGTAAATAAATGTGTGTATGGGTAAATAAATGTGTGTATGGGTAAATAAATGTGTGTATGGGTAAATAAATGTGTGTATGGGTAAATAAATGTGTGTGTGTGTGTGTGTATGGGTAAATAAATGTGTGTGTGTGTGTGGGTAAATAAATGTGTGTGTGTGTATGGGTAAATAAATGTGTGTGTGTGTATGGGTAAATAAATGTGTGTGTGTGTATGGGTAAATAAATGTGTGTGTGTGTATGGGTAAATAAATGTGTGTGTGTATGGGTAAATAAATGTGTGTGTGTATGAGGAAATAAATGTGTGTGTGTGTATGGGTAAATAAATGTGTGTGTATGGGTAAATAAATGTGTGTGTGTGTGTGTATATGGCTAAATAAATGTGTGTGTGTGTGTGTATGGCTAAATATATGTATGTGTATGGAGGTATATGTGTACGTAATGTGTGTTATACAACATGATTTATTCCATTGTGTGTTTCAGTTTTACTTACAGATTTTGGGAATCTATTATTTAGATGATTTATACTAACTTTAAATTATCTTGTCTTTAAATCTCCCACCACTTAATAATATAATCCACTAGCAGAAACCTAAATTCATTTACATACAACTATAGGCTTTGGCCATAAATAGGCTCCTACTCTAGCTCATCTCCCTGTCACTGACCTAGACTCCTTATTAAAACGAAGCATCCTCTTAAGTAGCCCCATACTTTCTCACCGACTGCTAACTAAACTAAATTCAAAACCCCTATTCCGAGATAGTCAGGACTGAGGACAACTGGCATTTAGTTGTGCTGGTCTGAAATAGACTATACCCACATGAGGTAATTTTGGATTTTTTACTGTATAAAACATATATGCTCTGTTATAATAAATACATTGAGCTCTCTCTGTGGATCAGTTTTAAAATCTGATATTACTAGGATCCACCTGAATTATATACCAACGGATCTATTACCTGTACTTATATATATATATATATATATATATATATATATATATATATATATATATACACACACACACACACTCCCTTCTCCAACAGCACTGTCTCTGCTGGTTCGGTCATGTATACTGGATAGGAGGATTCCAAAGGTCCTTCTTTATGAGAAACTGATCACTGGCAAGAGGGCACTAGGTCAACCTGATCTTCACTTCAAGGATGTCTGCGAAAGGGACATGAGGGTGATGGACATGGACATCAAGAGATGGGAAGATGTTGCTAATGATCACTCCCACTGGAGACTTGATTTACACTGAGGGCTGGAGCGAGGGGAGGAGAAACAGTGGCTTGCTGTGGGTGAGAAACATGGTCAACAGTAAGAAAATGAGGTGACATTGTGGGGGAGAACATTTTCACATGCATTTGTTGCAAACAAGACTGTCACTCCTGTGCAGCCATAACATGCTGCACCACCATCAGCAGCTAAAGCATAACTCGCTTTGGCCGCAGATCCAAGGTTTCTAGAAACTGACAGTGCCCACCTCTCACACACGCACATATATATATATATATATATATATATATATATATATATATATAGATAATATTAGTGGAAAATATACATACATATGAAAAATATATCTAAAAAATTCCCATACATGTATATTTTCAGAAAAAAATTTTCCAAGAGGAAGGATCCAGGTAGAACTCAATGTCTAGGACAGAGTAAGGATATAATAAAAAGGCTTAAACACTAATATTCCATGGTCATAATTTATTCCATTGGAATCGTAAATACGATCCAAATCATCAGACCTACAAATTTTTATTATATATATATATATATACACACACACACACACACACAGAAAGAAGTCATTATTTTTAGGAAACATTTATTAAATCAATGAAATTAACTAACTGTATTTTGCTGGCATTGCATAATGTTTACATTAAAATACAGTTAATAGGATTTTTCATTAAAAAAAATATATGTATTATAATTATATATCTATTATTTGATTACATATAATGGTACAGATAATATTTACTTAATTCCTTGATTTTTAATTTTAACATACCATGTCTAATTGAACCATTGAATATAATAAGTATTGTATTTTAGATCAAAATAATATATAAAAATGATTTAATCATTCTAGAGGCCCCTTTAAGACAGTCCTAAAGTATATACAAAAGTAATTTAAACAAGATAAAATCCCAAAATTAACCTATTGTTGGATACATATGCCTCTTTGTTTTATTTCATTGTATCTTATGAGTATATTCTTAACCGGAACAAATGGTGACATGTCTAATACATGACGGCTCATCTAGAGAAGTATGAATAATATACACACACCTAACATCTAACCTACATTTTTTTTTCACTTTTCTGCTTTAGCTTAGATCTCTTTTCATTCGTCAAATATGTACACGCCCATAGAATTTGGAAATCTTGTTCCCCTCTCCTACTTAAATTCTTTAATATAATACCACTCCACTTTAAAAAGTAAATCATTTTCTTCAAAAGTTACTAAATATTGCTAGATAATGGAACAAATTTAAGGTTCTGAAACAGAAATTTCCATATCGCAATTAAAAAATATTTTTAAATATTGTCCTTTATTTTGTACTCTAAAACCATATATATATATATATATATATATTCACACAGCTGTTCATGTACAAACATCTTTTTATTTACATGTTTATAGAAAAAAATATACACAACCTTATTTTATCTTTTATATATACACATAGATATACACACCCTCATGTATGTACATTTTCATATGTAATAACACAAAACGATAAACCTATAAGCAGATATTGTTTTTTTTTGTTTTTTCTCTCTTGCTGAAATCCTTCTCAGTATGATAATGCTATTCTGTTTATATCAAAAGGAAATTTATTCATATTTACACTTTACTTTTGTCTGGCTATGGAAATCCAAAGCCACATTAAGTTGAAGGTTAGCTACATATTTGTCATTCCACTGCTGGAATATTAACGCTCCTCCCATCCTTCACAACCCCCACCCCCATTGTCTGTGTCTGGTACCATTCTGCTATTTCCAATTCCCAGAAACCTATTGCACTGCTTCCTCCCTTCAGTCTTATTTCTTTGTTCCTGAAACTTAAATAGTCTCTCAGTACATTTATAATGGTGGGCTACTCATTTCCAAACACACCCATCTATGAGGAAGGCTAGCCAATCCCTATTGCAGACTCCTGATCAGGCACCTTTTTTTTTCTTTTCTTTTTTTTTTTTTTTTAAATACCCATGGAACCAGCTTGCAGTTAATACTGAAACTATGCTGAGAAGGTCTTAGCTACAGTTGCTGGGTGAGAGTGAATAATCACTAGTTTGAACAAAGCCATTTCATACAAACCCATGGTCATGATGACTTGTGACATCATGCTAACACAACCATTGACGACTTTCAAACAGTTCCATCTACCCAGTTTCATTCCCAAGGCTTGTGTCAAGACGTGGTCTGGGTTTCAGGCACTTTCCAAAAGTGTTGAATGCTGGGATCACCTCCTCAGGGCAATAATATCATGAAGTCACCTTCCTTAAATTGACTATGGTGAGATTTGAAACCTGGGTCTCATGGTCAAAATGTGAATGTTCTAACCATGAACTCATCAGCATTACATACACACACACACAGTCTGCCTTGTAATATATATATATATATATATATATATATATACACACATAATACCATACATTGGTTGCACAATTCAGTTTCATGCTTATGCAATCTTCAGGTGCATATTATTTTTGGGATTAACACTGGTTTTTTAATATCTCTGGATATCGCAAGATATTTTATTATTAGTGTGGATTATTATTATTATTGTTAATTTTTTAAATGGATTGCAGTTTAATTTTGGATTTGAAGTTAGATCCAGATTAACATTTAAGATTGAAAATAAGAATTATAAATTCTAATTTAAAATTTAAAACAGACACTGATTTTATCAAAAGGAAGAAAACATTTGGAAATATTTATCCATTATTTTATATAAAATATATTATATATATATATATATATATATATATATATATGCATGCATACACAGTGCCACAAGGTAAATAGAAACATATTGAGTTATGTTGCTCTCTGTTGCTGAGCAGTCTATAGCATGCTGGGGCAAACGGTGGTTTCTCCAACAATGGTGGGGATGCAGGTTCCAATTCTGTCAGCTCATTTCTTTGTTTATTAATTTTTCTTTAGATCACAAGCCAACAGACGTAATACATATTGATTATAATAAAACAACATGGTATCTATTTCAAATATGTGTATCCAGTAAAAATAACATTTAAAGTAATTAGGATATCAGATATTTCTTTAATTCTTTAGAAATATATTTTATTTTTGCAAAATAAAATTACTCCTAATGGAGTACCTTGAGGAACACATCGTATAATGCTCAATGCCTAATGACAAAGCTTGAATATTAATATATATGACATGTAATTCATTTGTTTATATAGTTTATATTAATAAGAAATAAATGTGTATGAGACTATAGCTATGGCTGACCATTGACTTAACACTATTATGAGGCTTATGGCCACATTGAGACAGCAGTTCCCATTCAATCACTGAAGTTAAGCAATGTTGATCATGGTCAGTACCTAGATAGATGACCACTTGAGAATACTAGGTGCTGTAAGCTTGGATGTGTGGGTGGTGTAAAGGAATTGTTAATCGGGGAGAGGAAAGTTCCAATTTCCATTGAGTTCTTTATAATCAATTATGTGCAAATAACATTGGGAAAGTTATGAATCCACTGCTTCTCCCCCCACCTATGGGTTAATTAGTAAGACTTGTATCACTAAGCCATTATTATCTCCCCACAAAAACAAATTCTTACAATCTAAACATATTTTCTGACTTAAATAATCTGTAAAGGGTTGATAAGCCATAGGAAATGAATCAATCATAAACACTATTAGGAGGTGTGTATATATATATATATATAGCTACAAAAAAAAGTTCATGTTTCAATATTTTGATTGTACTTCTACAATCACAATATATATTTGACATTTAATTGATTAATCAAGAAATACCCACAAGTCTAACTTTAATTCTGACCTTATGTTCCCTCTCCTTTTATCTTTCAGAAAAGAGGTAACAATTTGTTTTTAAATTTTCTTAAAAATGATTTAGTCACCAGTTAGTTACCATCACCTGAAGTACATAGTATTGAAACATGAAAGCTTTTGTGTAGCGATTTCAACATGTTTTTATTATAATCTTTTATAATAATATATTGCTCTACTTTGTTTTGAGCACTTTTTTAAAATTAAATGCTACAAACAGTGGAATTTTACTCTATCTGTTCTTTCTCTTGTGTGTATGTGTGTATGTAATGATTAGAAGTTTGTCACTTAGCTGATCGATGTTACCTTCAGCATCCTGACTTCAGAGTTTCGTAGGCAGGCCTGTCCGTCCACTCTTCAAGGTGTATCAACAATTTACTGCTTATATTTTCAATTTTTTTCCTTTTTATGTGTGTCAGGTGTTGTAAACATTTGCCCTTGGGGGGGGGTTGTCACTTTACATTCACATTTTTTTTTTCTTTCATTTCTTTCGGCAGTTGTGGTGAGTTGTTCCAATCTCTAGACATGCCACTGATTTTAATTTTGGGGCCTTCTCATTATATATATATATATATATATATATATATATATATGGAAATGGACTAAGTACAACAATTATTTTAATATATTTTATTGTTATACATTATTTATATAGACACAAATATTTAAGTGAATGTTCTGTTTATAATAAATAGTATTAACATTTACTGGCCTGCATGTCCGAGAAATTTCATAGAAAATATGCGTCCTCCAACAGGAATTATTCTACACAAAACTGTTATATAGCCTGATGTGCTATACCAGTTTAGCTATGAAGGAAGCATCTGGTTAGCAAGGTCGATTTACTGCTTTTACTTACTTGCTAACCAGATGCTTCCTTCGTAGCTAAACTGGTATAACACGTCAGGCTATATGACATTTCCGTGTAGGATACAAGTTTGATTCCTGTCGGAGAACACACATTTTCCATGAAATTTCTCAGACATTCAGGCCAGTAAATGTTAATACTGTTTATTATAAACAGAGCATTTACTTAAATATTTGTGTCTATATAACGTATAACAATAATATATATATAATATTTTTAATCATTTCACTCCATGCAAGGCAGTAAAGCCACTAAGACACAAGGAGTTATTGAGTTTGAAAGAATAAGAAAAAAAAGAAACATTATTAAGGTGCAAGTACAATCAAAAAGTAATTAGGAAAACAGCAGATTTACTATGATTGTGACCAGTGATTTCACTGGTAGGGTTTATTAGGAAAATATTTAAAGCTTTCATATACTTTTAAAAACTGTCTGATGTTATTATTCAAATCTGTTTTCACTACCAAAAATGATATCATCATATATTTAGATTTATATGACCACATGTTAGTTTCAGTTTATAATGTCTTATAATAATAATAATGTATTGTGCGTGTCAGGATTTATCATGTAACTAAAGTGCAAATTACATTTTTTATTTATAAATAAATCTGAATAATAAAGGCCTGAGAAACATTTGATTAAAACAATATTGTATATTCTGGAATAAGTTATTTTAAATGTTAATAGAAGAAATAAGCTTCTGAACAACATCTGGTTTGTTGTGTGGTGTGCCCAAATATAAAAATAAAATTTAAAAAAAAAAAAGAAATTCATACCTCTTTTTCTCTCTGCCCTTCTGTCTCTCTCTGCCCTTCTGTCTCTCTCTCTCTCTCTCTGCCCTTCTGTCTCTCTCTCTCTCTCTGCCCTTCTGTCTCTCTCTCTCTCTCTGCCCTTCTGTCTCTCTCTCTCTCTCTCTGCCCTTCTGTCTCTCTCTCTCTCTCTCTCTGCCCTTCTGTCTCTCTCTCTCTCTCTCTGCCCTTCTGTCTCTCTCTCTCTCTCTGCCCTTCTGTCTCTCTCTCTCTCTCTGCCCTTCTGTCTCTCTCTCTCTCTGCCCTTCTGTCTCTCTCTCTCTCTCTCTCTCTGCCCTTCTGTCTCTCTCTCTCTCTCTGCCCTTCTCTCTCTCTCTGCCCTTCTGTCTCTCTCTCTGCCCTTCTGTCTCTCTCTCTGCCCTTCTGTCTCTCTCTCTGCCCTTCTGTCTCTCTCTCTGCCCTTCTGTCTCTCTCTCTCTCTCTCTGCCCTTCTGTCTCTCTCTCTCTCTCTCTCTCTGCCTTCTGTCTCTCTCTCTCTCTCTCTGCCCTTCTGTCTCTCTCTCTCTCTGCCCTTCTGTCTCTCTCTCTCTGCCCTTCTGTCTCTCTCTCTCTGCCCTTCTGTCTCTCTCTCTCTGCCCTTCTGTCTCTCTCTCTCTGCCCTTCTGTCTCTCTCTCTCTGCCCTTCTGTCTCTCTCTCTGTCCTCAAATACAAGTATCCACTGAAACCAAGTAGTGTCTTTTCTCCTCTTTCCATATGATCAAAATGGAATAGTCCATTATTTATGAGGTATTGGCAGGGCCTAACACTCATGCAAACTAACAAAGAGAGGGACAAGCACAATTATATGATTGTTTTTATAATTCACTGTCTTTTTTTTTTTATGTTTAAACTCAGAATTTGTTTCACTTAAGTTTAGCATTTTCTTCTACTCCTTCCTACCTATCAACATTCCACTTCATTTCATATGAATTAAAATTACTTTTCTATCTTAACTCTGTATTATTATTATTATTATTATTATTGATAATAACCTAACGAGACAGATGTGCTGCCTAAAATTCCCTGTAATTGTTTCAGGTAAATAAATTAATCAACAAATGGTAATTGCTGACAATCATATTCTCACCTTATTTCCCTCCCTTTACCCTTCGCTTCACCTCTGTTTTGTTGTCTTTGATTATTTTTTTTATTTATTTTTTTTTTTGGTTGATTGCCATAAAGTAATTATGCAGTCCACCGTTGGCATTGTCACTCTCTGCTGGCAACTATATAGAATCGGATATTTAGATAACTGGAGAGAAGAAGAGATGAAGGCATGCAGCCAAGTCCCCACTATCAACCGTGGGGCCTTGGCTGCATGCCTTCAGTGGCGTCAGGCTGAAGCGAGACGTATTGAGTAAGCAGGTGATAAGTATTTATTTCACACCTTATCTATACACTCTGTGTCTTTGATGCTGACACTTGCTGACTGCTGTTGTATAATTGAGTTGTAGAGAAATCTTTACCAACTTTGTGTGCTTCTGTCAAATGAAAGGGGAAGACTCGCGATACACTTCATATCTTGAGATGATATTCTTATCACATGAAGCATTGTCAATCATTAATGTTTCTTTTGTCTTAGAGTTGCAATTAAAAGCACCTAAATTTAAGATAGTAGAAATACTAATCATAGGTCTTCTTTCAAGGTGGCCTCTTGTCTATCTGTATTCAAGTGGAACTCCTATATCCACTTTACTGCTAAAGATGCTGAAAAAATGGTCCATTCATTGTAACGCTCCAGTAAATATTTGACTACAATGTGCTATGCTCTTTTAAAAGTGTCAAATTGAACCAAAAACAGAGTATTGCTACCATATCCGAGCTGGAGCTGCCCACTCCTCACTTGTTTGCCTTGATAAAGTTCAAAAGCATCTACACGGCCTTGTGATTGATGAATGCTGCTCTATCACTATTTTCATAGCATGTGTTCTGATGAGCTACATTCCTTGGTCCCAGCACCCCTGACCTTTACAACTGGAGCCTACCATTAACATGCACAAGGGTGAATCATCCCCATTGGTAAAAAGAAAATTCCACTCAAACAGCTACTTCACAAGAACTTCTGCTTTGGGGAACAGACTCCCAGTAGCATGTTTTCCCATTCACTACAATCTTGACAATTATTTTAAGATATTTTTTTATAATTGTCGGACTTTGTCCATTTCGTAATGTGTGACGTCATTTGTTTACATTTGATACGCCATGAGCAGATATGAATGTACGCGAGAGAATCATGGAAGAATAAAGTTCAAATACAGTAAACTCGACCTTGCTTACCGAACGCTCCTCTGTGGCCAAATTGGTTAAAGGCACATCAGGCTAAATGACGGTTCCATATACGATACAGGTTCGAATCCTGTCAGAGGACGAATATTTTCTGTGAAAATTTCTCGGACATTCAGGCTGGTAAATGTTGTTTAATACTGTTTATTATAAACAGAGCATTTATTTAAATACTTGTATCTATAAAAATAATGTATAAACATAAAAATATCTTAAAATAATTAATATAAGTTTGAAATTTCGCAAGGAAAGTCAAATCTTTTGAGTTTCTCACTTTTCAGTCTTTATTAAATATTGTTAAAGGGGAGATATCCTATTATGTAGAATTTTCTTTTAGATTTTACAATTAAGATGAGGATGTTAGTCAGAAAGACTTAATAATAAATCTTGAGTCCCCAATTTCAAAGATGATGCTTATGAAATGAGCCATATTTGAACATTTCACTATAATTCAAAACGGATCATGTTTGGGAGGTCTGGATATAACATGGGAACATAATTGTTCTTCCTAATTAATATATATTTGACATTTATGAAGGAAACTGAAAAGCTTTGAATTCCTCACTTATCGGCTTTGTCTCCAATATCTTTCTGTAACTATTCACAGCAATAACAGAACAGATAT